TGGTGGCGGGTGGGCGTGGGAGCCACTGAAGTCTGGGAGCCAGCATGTTGGTGCTGGCATGGTGGGGGACCTCAGGTGTGAGAGGGAAAGGGCAGGGACCTGAGGCCTTACCTTGTGGAGACCTGCATTGTAAGAGATTAAAAATGCTTGCCAAAGTTTAAGCTAATGGAATCAGATATACTTCTAGAGCAAAGGTAAAAATATAAAAATAAAAACACTTAAAAATGAAGGAAGGCCTTTCAGAGAGATGTAGGTGCACTAAAACGATGCATGGACTGAGTGGTTTGGACATGGGCTTCATCAAACAGAATGGAGGTGACGGGTGGTGTGAGCATGAGGTGTGCATGCCGCAGCAGTGGGTGCAAAGCAGGGTCCTGGTGGGACAGGAGAACTAAACCAAAGATCCGTTCTTGAAAATGTGCCTCCCTGGGGACCCGGAAGCAATAGGCCTCTGTGGGAGTGTGGAGCGGAGACCCTCCGGACTTCCATTCCAAGGGCAGGCATTGGAGCTTGGTGCCTGTGGCTCTGACCATCACTTGCTCAGTGACCTGGAAGCTTTCTGGTCATTCTGGACCAGCAGAAAAGCAACATTCTGAGAGGCATCTACCAATGTCCTGTCCCTGCCAGCATTCACTATTCTGAGTGAGGAGTCCATCCCTGGCTATGTCCCAAGCATTCTCCCTGCACTAGGGGCCTAGTAATTTAAGGCTGTTTTGTTACCACAGCTCCTTAAGCAGAATGGATGTGCTGTCAGCAGTGCCTGAGGTTTTTATATGCCCCCTTTCTGCTAAAGCATGCTGGCTTTGGTGAGCTTGCCAGACTTCCTAGGAGCCCTGAGGCTGCAGGAGCCAATACTAGAAGGAAGGCCTTCCAGATCTCCACTCTATCCAGTCTAGCTCTGGATGCAGTGAGGAGTGGCCTCAGGTTTCCTAAAGTCAATACAAAGCATACTGGCCAGAGAATGCCCTGTTCTCCATCCTGGACACTGGTGCAGGACCCTGGAAGGCTGCTATGATCAGAGGCCTGTTCTAAAGTGCACCCCGACTCCTTACATGTGCATCCAGAACTTCAGAGAGGTCAGCGAGACGAACTTACCCTCTAGAATTTTCCGCTACGATCTCATTCCTAATCATTGTATATTGTTAGTGTTTACAGAAGAACAAGTGTAGAGCCGAATCTGGGAGAGCCCGCCTGAGATGCCTTACTCAGCAACAGGCCAGGTCACCCAAAGCCAGTTCCTGACACCCGTGATCTGAACACTTCAGTGCTGCAGGTGGAGACGGTACCATCAATATTGCACAGTGGGGCTTTCCCAGCCATGAGCTGCATCTTATGTTGGTCCCCAAGAGGTTAGCTGTGCTGGCCTTCTACTTAAGAACTCTAGGACTCTCTTTTAGTCCACAAAATTGGTGATTATAAAATGCCAGTAGTGGCCTCCAAAGATGAAACTGAGGCCCAGTCAAATGACCATCTCATGCTTCTAAGCTTGGGTGATGGTCCTCTCGATTAAGGGCTCCCTGGAGCTTCCTGGAAAAGAAACCAAACCTCCCGCTGGGTGTCAGTGGCTCATGCCTTTAATCCCAGCACTCGGGAGGCAGAGGCAGGTGGATCTCTGTGATTTTGAGACCAGCCTGGTCTTCAAAGAGAGTTCCAGGACAGCCTCCAAACCTACAGAAAAACCCTGTCTCGAAAAACAAACCAAGCATCTCCCCCCCCCCTTTTGAGACAGGGTTTGTTTGCGCAGTCCTGGTTATTCTGGAACTAGCCCTGTAGACCAGAAGGCTGGCCTCAAACTTAGATCCACTGGTCTCTGCCTCCCAAGTGCTGGGACTAAATGCTGGTGTATTGTCAGCACCACCAGCTAAAAGGAGTCATCAGAGGGACATACAAATAGGCTTGTAAGTCAGAACCAACAGCCCCAACCCAGATCACAGCAAAATGTACTCAGATATAAGCACACACAAAACCTACAAGTGGCATGGGCACTAAATAGGTCTAATCTAGCTAAGAGTTCTCTCTTTTTTTTTTTCTCTTCATTTTTCAAGACAGGGTTTCTCTGTGTAGCTCTGGCTGTCCTGGAACTTGCTCTGTAGACCAGGCTGGTCTAGAACTCACATTGATCCACCTGCCTCTGCCTCCAGAGTGCTGGGATCAAAGGCGTATGCTACCACTGCCTGGCTGTTTTTCTTTCTTTTTTAAAATTATTTTTATGATGTGAGTGTTTTGCCTTTATGTATGTCAAGGCATCATATCCATTCCTGGTACTCAATGCACTGGGTCTCCATGACTGGAGTTAGACAGTTATGATCCGCTGGGAGGGTGCTAGGAATTGAACCCAGATCCTCTGAAGGAGCAGCCAGGACCCCTAAGCACCAAGCCATTTATACAGCCCCTCTCTCATTTGTCTTGATGGCTTCCTGGCCATCTTCTTGTGATTGACACTACTGGCCTACATCAAGGTAAGAATGTAAAATTCTAACCAGAATTTTAACTAACTCCTGAGCAGTGTGGAGGGATGATGTCACTCATGGGGAGTGTGGATGGGATGGCTAGAGGGGTTGGTTCTTCAATGGTCAGCTGCCTCTCTCTCCAGTCCCCAAGCTGCAGCAGCAGATGAGGGAGTTTCCCTTTCTTCTGGCCTCCGTGGTGTGTGTTAGAGCTCTGTGGCTTGCTATTGCTTCATCTCCCTGCTTCCTTGTATGCATAGATGTTTCAAATTTTATTCATTTTTGAGACAGGGTCTCAGTCTGTAGCCCTGACTGTCCTTGAATACTCATAGAAATCAGGTTGGCCTTAAACTTGCACAGGTCTGCCTGCCTCTGCCTCCCAAGTGCTAGGATTAAAGTTGTGTGACACCACACCCTGCTTATTTATTTAGCTTTTAGACACACCACCTTGAACTTGAGACCCTCGTGCCTCAGGAGATTCTCAACACTAAAAGGATGGCTAGGGAGAAGGAATGAGGAGGGCATAGAAGAAGAGTCTGGTAGGCCAAACAGACAAGATACTCCCCAAGAACAAGCTTTGGGTGTCAAGAAGGGATTTCTCTTGAGGACTGTAGACCTCACTAAGAAGCTTCAGTGAGAGAGAGGTGTGACTGTTCAACTCTAAAAGATCGGCACCAATAAAAAAGCAATTTCTTCCTCCCTCTCTTCTCTTCCAAGCCTCACTCACAGTAGGCAAACAGTCTACCACTAGGCTACATCCCAGCCCTCTTTTTTACTTTAAAAAAGTTTTATTTTATTTTAATTATGTGTAAGTGTGTGAGTTATGTATTCATACATGCAAGTGCCCACAGAGGTCAGAGATAGCAGATTTCCTGAAGCTGGAGTCACAGCTTCAGGTGGCTGTGAGCTGCTGTGTGGGTCCTGGGGACAGAATCTGGATCCTCTGCAAGAGCAGCCAGAGCTCTTTACCACTGAGCTACGTCTCCAGCCTTCTTTTGGCTGTTTATTTTGAGACATGGACCTGCCTAGTTTCCCAGGCTGCTCTTTAGCTCACTCTGCCTGCTGAGTAGCTGAGATCACAGCCTGCCCCACCAGCCTGGAATAGAAGAGGACAAGAGCGCAGTTTCTGCAGAGCAGGGTGTAATGAACAGTGGTGTCACCAAGTCTACAGCAGCTGGAGTAGAGGGTGGCCATCCCTCCACATGGATGCCCTCAAAGTGCCTATCCTGAGTAAAGATGTCCATCCTGCTGCCTCTCGCTGGCTTGGAGGCCTCTCTTCTGCTCCCTGCCACTCCTTCTCTCACCCGTAGGTGCTATGGGCATCTCTCAAGTGCGGGCCTTGTACACATGGCCATCCTGAATGTCAGTGGCCTTCCTCTCAAGCATACACATTCTGTGGGAGCCTACATTTCACCCTGGGCAGCAGGCTTGGGCACCATGCCTCAGACATCCCTCAACCCTAGGTATCCTCCTTGAGGAGCAATCACACAGTTACTGTCCCTTGGTTTCACCCCAGTGGCCAGCAGCTGTCTGACTGTGCAGCATTCACCCAGGGCTTGAGTGAGTGGGTGGGTGGAGCCCAGGGCATGAAGGCTGGACACATTTTCAATCGGCGTTAAGAACTGCAAGCATTTTCTTGGAAAAAGAAAAATCAAAGAAATGAAAAGAAAAAAAGAAAAAAAAGAAAGAGTGACGGGATAACCAAAGAAAGCCCTTCAGAGTGGAAGAGTTTCTTTCTGTAATAAGCCGCCTTTACTTTGTTTCTTTGGCTCTCACTCCATTGTTGGAGCCTGATCCTCAAAAGATACCCTAGAGGACTCCCTGAAGTCGGGGTGTCTCAGGTCCATGAGGAATTTGGTGGGAGTGAGAATGTGAGTAGAACCTGTGGGAGAATAGAGGCCAGCTGAACAGAGGCACCCCTGGACATGCCAACGGAGGCCCCAGCGCCTGCAGCCAGAGAGGCACTGAGGGGCGAAGCATGCAAGGCGCATGCACACACACATGCATGCAGGGAGCAAGGCGTTGGCATACATGAAGCATGTGAGGCCACACAGTGAACTGTGGCGGTCTGTGGGAAGCCCCTCCATGGACCCACATGGGCAGCTCTCTGTCCCTGGGTCTCCACCCTCCCCCTGCACAAGGAACCTTAAGGAAGGTCCAGAGGAGAAAAGTAAGGTTCACACCCAAAGCCTGGCTGTGCCGGCTGCTGTCCAGGAAAAGCTGTGTTTGAGCTCAAGCCCTCTAACACATGCATGCAACACATACACAAGCAGGAAGCAGGGAACACTCATGGGGCCTATGTCACAGACAGAAAAACAGGCACAGATAGCAACTCAACCACAGTGGGAGCTGGGGAAGGGCGCACAGTCTTCCCACAAGATGTGTGAAGGTGCTAACCCCTTCGCACCTGTCTCGGTGAACCCAGAAGCAGCTATGGCACTGCTGTGTCACTGCTCTAAGGGGTCTGCTTGCTCGGACAGCTTGGGGGTGCTGTGAGCTGGTCATCCAAACTGGATAAATGGAAGGGGCACTTGTTGATGACTGCACCTGGGAGCTGAGGGAAGCCTTGCTAGCTGGGCAGCTAAGGGCCACCTCTCCAGCAGTCCACGTGTACATGGCTCATGTGGCCCTCCAAAGGCCCTAAAGGGGATGGTTTTCCAGAGTGCCTGACACACTCCTAGCATCACAATCTCAGGCCTTGCACTTTTATGCAGCGTGTGTTCTCACAGAGGGTGAGCCTTAACAGGGCAGTGTCTGTGCCAGCCTTCTGACAATTGGTGGCACATACAACTCTGTTAGGGACAAAGGGAAGACATCTGGAAGAGCCCAGACTTTTCTCCTTCATTTGTCTGCAAGCCCCAGAAGCTACAGATGATCCTGGGACAGAAGGCAGGAAGGGCCTCTTTCTGCAATAGACCTGATGCTACAAGCTGCGTCTGTTCTTTTGGAAGTGAACAGGAAATACAGAGTGTGGCAGACCAGAAGGTAGTGGGGACTGGCTAGGGAATCGACCCAGACACCAGGCCAATGGACTTCAGCAGTATCTGTGACATGCTGTCTAACTACCTCCAACAGAGTGGTGGAGGAAGACAGTAATGACGGGCCCTACCAGCAAGTGGTCCAAGGGCTGATGCACAGAAGTGAACAACTCCCCTCTCAGCCCTGTTCCAGGCTGCAAGAAGGTGCTACAAACTCTGTTTTGTTGGGTAACAATATGGCTTGGGAGAGACCCACTCTTGCTCAAGGTGACTCCACTTGGCAGTGTCAGTGTATGGATTTGTATGGGTTTCTCTGTGACTTTGGAGGCTGTCCTGGAACTAGCTTTTGTAGACCAGGCTGGTCTCGAACTCACAGAGATCCGCCTGCCTCTGCCTCCTGAGTGCTGGGATTAAAGGCGTGTACCACCAATGCCCGGCTGGATTTGAGACTCTATGACCAGGCTCTTTCCATCCCAAGATGCTGTCTTTCAGCAAGAGACACATTAGGGCAGAGATCCCTAGCTTTTGCCATTCACAAACTGTTATCCAGGGCTAAGTTTTGCTGGGGTGAGGGAGGACCTCAGACAGAATGCAGCACAAAGCATGGGATGGAGAGACAGTGCAATGAGGCAGCAACTCCTGCCGAATGCATGCCCTGCTCACCTATCAGCACTTCCCACTTGCCGTTGGCCTGTGTCACTTCATAAGCGCAGCGCATCTCATTCAGGCTCACACCTCCAAGGATGAAAATAATGAGGCGGGGGCCGCTTCTGTATTCCCCGGGGGCTTTATTCTTGTGCCAGTGTCCATAGCGGGCGCTGAGGGAGAGAGATCAGTTACAGGTGACTTGTCAGTGCTGGCAAGCTGAGCTGGACTGCAGGTTCCTGAGCTGTGAGGTATCAGACTGGCTCATCTAAGCAGCTTTGCCTGGATGGCTCTCATCCAGATGTCTGTTTCAGTTCAGGCCTGGTTCCGAGCTCACCTGGGACACTGCAGCACTATGTGGTATGGAGAGGCAGAGGGCTACACCAATCTGGCACACTGATCACAGGCAAACATGCCAAAGAGGCCTCATGTGGGCCAGGCTTCCCGGTACTGCATCCCCAGGGAAAGACAGCACTTTCCCTCCAAGAAGTCAGAGTCTAGGGAATTGCTGAATGCCACAGGACAAAACAGGACCACCAAGCACTGCTCAGGCTTCACCTGGGAGGTAAAAAGCAGGTAAGCCTGAGGAGCATAGACTTCCTCAGTAAGACTTAGACTCTGACCCAGATGAGACAGGTTGTCCAGGCTGAGAAAATTGAAACCATTAAAGGGGGGAAGCAAGTCCCCTTTGGACAGCAGAATGCTCCACCCTGCTTCCTCACTCACGACAGGAAGAACCTGGGTACTGTTGATTTCTTCCGTGTACAGCCTGCCTAGCAAGGGCAGCATTTGGGGCTGTAGTTTATTCCACATTCAGCAGTGGCCTTATCACCTTTAATGCCATCAGAAGAGATGCCAATGCCACAGGAGACACTGCAGACTTCTGACCCAGGCCCAGGCAGAGGCCAAGGGTGAAAACAGAAGAAAAGCCAGAGACAAACCAGAAAAAAAGGGACAGTGGTTCATACTTGCTAGTCATGGAGGTGCACACCTTTAATCCCAGCCTTGGGAGGCAGAGACAGGTGAATCTCTGTGAGTTCAAGGCCAGCTTGGTCTACAGAGTGAGTTCCAAGACACCCAGGGTTACACAGTGAGACCAAACAACAAAACAAACAAAAACAAAGCAAAAAATCCAAACAAAACAAGGGGTGAAGGAGTGTCAACCCTGGGAACCACAGCTGATGGTCCTCTCTGCAGCCGCTGGCTGTTCTCCAGGCTCAAGGTTCAGTCCCCAGTTCTGGGGAGCCATGGCCTAATGTTTGTCAGCTGGCAGGCACCTGGGCCATTACTGCGCTAGGCTTCATGAATAGAACCGCTGTGGACACAGGGGTTTCATGACTAAACAGGTGCTTAGGGATGACCAAAGGGGAAAACTAATAAAGACCTACAGATTAAAAGGGGACCGTGCAGCTTATCTGGCTGCAGATAATGTGTGTGTGGATGGGGTGAATGCAGTAGGCCCGGCATGTTCCAGGATGAGCAAGGAGGTAGAGGCTGTGGCAGACGGGGTGCACGGAGAAAGGGGATGAATTATTGGAGGGCTGGGAGCCGAAGGGAGGACTGTGTGGCCTGCTGTGAACCCGGGCCTGATGTACTCTGACCATGATGGGTGATGTGGGAGGGTCCTGATGGTGTATGCCATTCACCGCCAGGTCACACAGACTCACAGACAGTACCCCTGCTTTCCCCACATCTACCCACCTGACAGCGGTGGTGCTGAAGGAAGCAGAGGAGCGGGTAGAGATGTATGGGTAGTGCTTTGTATCCAGTTTGTCTTCAATAGTGTCCTGGAAAGGTGAAGACAGACAGGCTGTTTAAAGAGGCTGATAGGAGCTAAAGCAACAGGCTGGGAAGAAAAAGTCAGGCATGACCACATCATCTGCACAGGCCCTCCTCTTCCCATGCCTGCTGCCACTACCAGGGACCTAGTACAGACCAGGGACAATGGCACTTGTTTCTTAGCAGGCCGTTAGACTGCCTGGCCCTGCAGGTTACCATAACTATCCAACATACAAAGCACCCATTTTCCCTCATCTCTGTAATGTACTCCATTGTATAAGCCACTGAGGTTCAACACCTTATGCTCTGTCCACTAAGTTCCTGACATATGCTGTCAGCCTGGTGACAAGTGGGTTTGGGGAGAGCCTCCCTATAGTTTATTGAGGAGCCAATTGTCTGGTGGGTGGATTCCAGCTATCTCCTGCCACTTAAATCCATATTCCTCTTATGAGAAGCATGAGAAGCCTTCACAGGCCTCCTTGGAGAGCAGGGAGAAGGGACAGAGAAGCGGGGGGGGGGGGGGAGGGGAGGAGAGGGGGGGGGGGGGGGGGGGGGGGCACTGAAGCAGAGGGCTGCTTCCTCAGCCCCAATACCAGAGACAGGCAATTGGTTTCTAGGTGTTTCATAGTCACCTAACCTTTTGGTTTGCAGGTTTTAAAAACAGGACCCTGACTCACCCCACATAAATACACTTGTGGCATATAATTCCTGAACTAACTCAGGGATAGGAGGTGAGGCCCTATTCTCTGGACTCCCATTTTGTTTGCCTATCAAGTGCAGTTGTGCAGACTGTCACCTCCAACCTTAAAGCCCTACTGGTGTATGACTCTGCAGGGTTCCTGCTGCGATGGTGAGGGTCACCACAGAGCTGATGCAAATCCACTGCCTTACATTCCTTGTAAGGCAAAAACATGGTGCCACAGCTTATTGTGAGCCTCTGTACAATGGACATAGGGCACAAAGTGACAGAATCATCCTATTAGAAGATGACCCCAGGGTGAGATAGGCAGTGGTGGTGCACACTGTTAGTCCCAGCACTTGAGAGGCAGAAGCAGGTCAATCTCTGTGTTTGAACCAGCCTGGTCTACAGAGGGAGTTCCAGAACAGCCAGAACTTCACAAGGAAATCCTGTCTCAAAAACAAAACAAGGAAGGAAGGAAGGGAGGGAGGGAGACAGGGAAGAGGGGGAGGGAGGAAGGAAGGAAGGAAGGAAGGAAGGAAGGAAGGAAAGAGGACTTTGGGAGACTACTTTGTCTAGCATGTTGAAGCCTTGGGCTGATCCCCAGCATTGCATAAACTGGACATAGTGGTGTATGCCTTTAATCCTAGAGCAGGAAGGTCAGAAGTTCAAGGTCATCCCTTGGCTACATCATAAGTTCAAGGCCAGTTTGGACTTGAGACCCAATCTCAAAAACAGAAGATGGCCTCAAACTGGGCAGCAAGGTTGTATATAAATAGCACACAATAAATAGACCAGAGTTTGGGGATCCAGAATGCAACAGGCTCTGTGATGCCAGATGGTCAGGCATGTGAGGTGCTAGAGAGACAATGTGAGGCTCGCAGGGCTCAGGAAGTGGAGCTAAGGACAGGTTATTCCAATTTGATCATAGAGCCCAGGTCTGTCTGCTGGCCCCAGGAGCGCTCAGGAGTGCAGCAGGGAGGAAGGTGGCATGCTGCAGCTTCCTGCTGAGGCCTTTCCACAGCTGCCTGAGGTGTGAGGTAGAAGGGCCTGTTCCCTAGTAGAGTTTGTGCATGCTCCTCGTATGAACTTGGCATGCCGACGCAAGCCTGGCTCTTTCCAGTACTGCACCAGAGGCACTTCACAGCATGGGACTATACCCCTGACACTGCAGGTGTGGGCAATGGCTCTCCAGGTCTCCATGTGTCAGTCTTTAATGGCTAGTTTTACTGGACAGGAGAGAAGGGAACCTTAATTGAGAAACTGCCTCCTTAAGATCAGGCTGTTGGCAAGCCGACAGGGCATTCTCTTAATTAGTTATCAATATGGGAGAGGATAGGTAACTGTAGGTGGTGCCATCCCTGGGCTGATGTTCCTGGGTGCTGTAAGATAGTGGGCTGAACTAGCCATGAGAAGCAAATCAGTAAACAGGACACTTCCATGACTTCTGCATCAGCTCCTACCCTGTTTGACTTCCTGCCCTGAACACCTTGCCTTTGATGATGAACACTGATGAAACATAAGCACAGTAAACCTCTTCCTTGCCAAGTTACTTTTGGTCATATTGGGTTTTTTTTGTTTGTTTTTTTGAGACAGGGTTTCTCTATGTTACAGACTTGGCTGTCCTGGAACTCACTCTGTAGACCAGGCTGGCCTTGAACTCAAGAGATCTACCTGCCTCTGCCTCTGCCTCTGCCTCCTCAGTGCTGGGATAACAGGCGTGTGCCACCACTGTCCAGCAGTCATCGTGTATCACCACAGCAATAGTAACCCAGGCTAAGACATGGCTCACAGTTGTTCATGAGTCCTCAGAGCTAGGTGCTTTGGGAGGACTGACAGAACCCCAGAGGTCTGGGTACTTATCACTACAGGAACTAGGTCATAGGGTGTCACTGCTACCTGAGAATAGGGGTGCTACAACCTGGACCACCTGAAGAGCAGCCCTGGCTCCTGCTGCCACACCCCAAACTGACCTCCATGATGTCCTTAATGATTGGGGTCCATCGTGAGAGCTGGTAGGTCTGCTCACTGATGCGCTCCTTCCGCTCTGGCTTGCTCCTACGACGTAGTGTCGACTGAATGCAAACACACATGAGATCAGTCTCCAGGCAGAACCACCTGGTATCAATAACCTCTGGAAATTCTCTCAAGGTCCCTCTTCAAAATTAGCACTGGCAACAAGTAACAGAAGAGAGGTTCTGCCCAGTGTAGCCCCCAAAATGTACCTCTTTAAGAAACTCTGAAAACAAGGTAGACTTGAGAAATTATGGTTCTATTTCTTGTTGTCATTGTTTTGTTTATTGGTACAGGGTTTCTCTGTGAAACAGCCCTGATTGTCCTGGAACTCACTCTGTAGACCAGGTAGACCTTGAACTCACAGAGATCCGCCTGCCTCTCGAGTGCTGGGATTAAAGGCCACCACTGCCCAGCTCAAAGTATGGTTCTTTAGTTGTGAAAAATGCCAAGTGCCCCGGGGACTGTGGTGGTTTGAATCAGAATGATCCCTGACTGCTTAGTTACCAGGGAGTATCACTATTTGAAAGGATTAGAAGGGTTAAGAGTGCTTGCCTGGATAGAGGAAGAGTGTGTGTGTGTGTGTGTGTGTGTGTGGCTGTGGGTGTGTGGTTTTGTGGTTGTGTGTGTCTCACTGGGGGTGAGCTTTGAGGTTTCAAAAGTCCATGTCAGATCCGGACTCTCTGACTTAGCCTATGCATCAGCTACTTCTTCAGAACTAGGCATGCAAGCTGCCCTGGTCCTTGCTATGATGATAATGGACTAAATCTCTGACATTGTAAGCAAGCCCCCACTTAAATGCTTTCTTTTATGAGCTGCTGTTATAAAAGCAATAAAAAAAAAATCCACACTGGCATGATGACTCACACCTGTAATCCTAGCACTTGGGTGGCTGAAACAAGGGTATCATCATGAATTCAAGATCAGCCTTGAGCTACAAAGGGAGAATACGTCTTTAAAAAAAAAGGCGGGGGTAGTTAAAAATATTTTGCTAGCTTGGTGATGGTGGCACACACCTTTAATCCCAGCACTTGGGAGGCAGAGGCAGACACATCGCTGTGAGTTTGAGGCCAATTTGGTCTACAAAGCGAGTTACAGGACAGTCAGGACTACACAGAGAAAACCTATCTCAAAACAACAACATCAACAAAAAAGACACCAAACACTGCCACCAGCAGGTCAGGTCAATGGAATCCAGTCCCTCTTGAAGATCCTAGTTGGTTTTGCCAGCTCTGCTCCTGGGCTATCTGCCTCTAGAAGGAAGCACACAGTGGGGCTCCTCCTCCTGGGGTTCAAAGGCTCTATCTGAATCTGCCCACTCTCTCAAAACACACTGTGTAACCCTGACCCTCTGAACTATCTGCCTGATATCACTCAGTCACCCCACTGCCAAAGGCACAGAGCAAGCAAAAGGGTTTGCTTGACAATGTGGTGGTGCCACTCTTAAGGGAGATGCTAAGTCTGTGGTACCCAAAGGCAAGGCTATACACATTATGATGGGGGCCCTGGGGTGGCCCATTTTGGATGAGTTCAGAGATGGCTCAGCTTTAGACTCCTGGATTCATAGCTAGTTCCTGACTTTGATTCCACTTCAATGTCCTTTCTGCCCTCATCTCTGATTCTGTCTCTCCTCTTCTCTTTTCCTTCCTTCCTTCCCTCTCTCCTTCTCCTGATGCTGAGAGTGGTACACGGCCACATCACAGGGGGCTGTCAATCATGGATGCAGAGAGGATACAATATTTCAGCCTCCCACACTCTCCCTGACTATCTATAATAGGCCCTTACGTCTGTGACGATGGGCACACCAAGGTGAGCCATGTTGGTGATGATCTCACTGTCCTCTGGAGGGATCTGGGCATGCTGGATGAGCTTGTTTAGGTTTTCCTCAGTGATGCCTGAAAAACAAGACTCTTGGTCACCACACCTAACCCTTGCCATTCCCACCCTTATAATCAGAGCCAATGGCTTCCTCTTTCCTCCTCAGAGTTCCAGGTACTGCTCCATCAATTGCATTTAAGGTGGGGTCAAAATAACCTTCCACCCTATTCTCGTCCTTGTCTTATCCATGGGGGCCTGCCCTTCCCAGTCTGTCTCCATCCACCTGGCTTCCCAGCAGTCCTTCCCTACTCTTACCCTGCATCAAAGTAACGCTAGACAAAAAAAGTCTCCTTACCCATTTTTTTGTACAGTGACATGGGTAAGAAAAACAGTTTTTGTGTTAGATAGGGTCTCATGCAGTCTAGGCTAGCCTTCCTTAAACTTACTTTTGTAGTTAAGGTTGGCCTTGAGCTCTTGATACCTCTGCCTCTACCTCCCAAAGGATTACAGGCCAAATACCAGTTGTTGAAAGGTCTCAGTTACTAATGAGATGCAAACATCTGGCAGGCTGGATGCTAGTCAGATGACTCTGTCTGTATCACCTGCTTCCAGTCCACTCAAGCTGTGAGTGGGTTCAGCCTGCGGTGCATCTGACCTGGCCCCACTGCAGTTCCTGCAGGAGCAGCCCCTGGCCTGATGGTTCTCCCTGCTGCAGGGCTGCCTAACTGGCATTTGCACTGTCCTTTCTCCACCATGTCCCGGCGCCTACCGTTCTTAAGGAAGATGTAGAGAAGGATGATGCGGATTTTGTCGTAAGTGCTGACGTTTGCATCCAGCAGGATGGGGACAATGGCTCTCATGGGGTCCTTGATTTTCTCCCCCTCAGCATCTGTGCCCATTGCCAGATCCTGTAGAAAACACACCTTGCTGGCCCTATTTCTGGCAACAGTCTGGGCAGGAGGTGACTCTCAGGAAGTTCATGGTTTATAAGTGACTAACTTGGTGGTGCGGTTAGGGTAGGCTGTGTACAGGTCTCCTCCAGCAATGGGCTGACATATCCCAGGATGTCTACACAAGGAGCCCTGAGATCTGGTCTCACTGGAGTAAGGTGCACTGTTCCCTGCAGGGGAATGCCAGGGAACCTCTACCAGATAGACACATGACCTGGCTGAGGGATTTAGGGCTCACTTCCCACCCATGAAAACTCTGGTATCTCTGCACGGTTGGGCTCTCCTGGCACAGAAAGGCACACTGTGTTGTGAGTTTCACCTCTGGTTTTACTCTTCCCATAGCTTTTCGAAGGGCAAGTAGAAATGAGGGAAGGACTCCCAACAGTGGGAGGACAGAAAGGGTGACAGCAAACAGATGGAACGACTGGAGAGGGCACAGCCAGAGTGTGAGGAGCCAAGAGCACCCAATCCTGTCCTTACACAACCACAGCATTCTTGGTAGCTAGAATGGTGGCAGGGGTTCCTTTTCTCTCAAGACCCCAGGAGTTTACACAAATGGTGGCCCAACACAGCGGCATGGTCTGAGGAAGGCAGGACTCCTCTCCCTGGCCTCTCAACAGCTGTAAAAGATGTGCTCAGCACAAAGAAACTAGCACCCGCCCAGGCTTTATTTGTTTATTCAGTTAATTGATTAATTTTTAAACATAGGGTATCACCATGGAACTCTGGCTGGCCTGAGACATACACACACACACACACACACACAGAGAGAGAGAGAGAGAGAGA